ACATACATACATACATACATACATACATACATACATACATACATACATACATACATACATACATACATACATACATACATACATACATACATACATACGTTTAAAATATCCCATACCGTTTCAAAAAAATTATTGCCTTTCGGATTCTTCTTCGGCTTTGGAGAGGGCATCACTTGATTATCCCCGCTGTTGTTGATTGGCTGCATCGGAGGTCCAGAAATGACGGCCATCTCGCCCGCCAGTTCGTTGCGACGGTGACGAGAAGAAACTTTCTGTCTTGGTTTCCTTAGTGGCTGTGGTTGCTCGGGCGGTGGGAGGGTGTTCTCTTCCATGGCAACTGCAGTGTCTGAGTGTACATAGGAATCACTGTTTCCCGTGTAGTAACCTCGGTCCATGTTTCAGTTGGGATCGCTTGCTGATGGCGGACAAGATATATGATAATGTACCTGTTATGTGAAAATAATAATGAAGAAGAAGAAGAAGAAGAAGAAGAAGAAGAAGAAGAAGAAGAAGAAGAAGAAGAAGAAGAAGGAGGATGGTGATGATGATGATGATGATGATGATGAAGATGATGATGATGATAACACTAACATAACGAGAATGACAACACAAGAATAACGATAAAAAGATGTATTTGACAAGAGACTGCTGAATTGTCTCCAAAGGCCAAGATAGCTTCGATCGTTTGGCAGTCTTTTCTCCTGTGTCAAGCTGCAGCGGCGTTGATTCCCTTACACGCTTATGCTCCAGTCAGAACAAACTTTTTCTACATAATATTTTTTTTCTGGCACCCACATGCTGGAGACAAACAAAAAGTCTTATAATGTGCAGCAAGCCTTGGATGAACCTGTTACAAAAACGTTACCCTATGACATAAACTAATGAGTTCGTCGATTTTTCTCTGGTACTTCGTGTGTACACGTTCCTACCGGTACGTTCTGAAACATGTTCAGATTCTCAAATCTGGGTAGAGGCAAATGGTTGTGTAACAGAAAAAATAGCCTCTTACAAAAAACCCCAACAACAACAAAACAACAAAACAACAAAAAAAACAACAGCTGAAAAACGGTCTTCACAATTAAAGTTTGACACCTTCTGCTCATACAGCTAATAACGTTCATCCAAACAGATTTTGAACTCACCCAGCTGCCAGTTCGTGCGCCACAATTCCAAGTAGTGATGTTATGTTTATTTACAATAAGACCGCTTTCATCCTACTGATGGGGAAGTGATCCCGCATCAGTTTAAATGTTACAGTATGCACCAGATCGGGACGTTTGCACCTGACCAGAAATTTTTTCAATATTCACTCGTATTTTCTCCACAACTCTTGAGGACAAAAATGTTAAAGTGTTTTTGCTTTGTGTTGAGTCTTCAGAAAGGTTACACTGTTAAGTTTTCATAATTAAGAACAGGACGGCTTTCTCCATGACGTACCTCGAATTGCCTTCACCGTCCGTGCAAGAGGGTGCTGACGACAACATGAACGCCACAGCCTAAATTACTTTTTGATCAAACCCCTTGTCTCTCTCGCTCTGCGTGTGCGTGAGTATGCGTGTGTGTTGAAAGAGCGTGTGCTCAGTAGAGACCCCGTGTTAATAGAACCTATGCTTGGAGATCGATGAGAGACTAGCACGCTCTTTCCCCACGGCTCCTCTGTATCAGTTAAAAGACTAGCAACCGAGGGAATCGGTGAACCGTAGAGATCAATAGCTCTTTATCGATCTATTACTTATCAGAGGCTTGAAGTCGGCTGGCTTTACAGCTTAATCTGGACCAAAACATGCACTTGTTTAAATCCTTCTGGACCATAATCATAATAGTATTCTGTCGAGAGCTCGTAAGCACGGATGATTTGAGTAGGTAACAAATACTGAAAATGCCTTGATCTTATATATTACTTTGTAAACTAACTTCGGTGAATGATGCACCATTCTCCACGTCTGTCAAAGAGCTAGAAAAATAAAACTTAGAACAATTAAATAAGAGTTTAAAGTTAAGAAAGTGATTTGACAGAGTGGAACTGCTCGTCATGAAGCCACGGCTTCCTTTGCTAATACGAATAGCAATAAGATTATCCTACTTACCGAAATAACACAAATCTGATAGCCGTGACAAATTAAAATAGTGCGCTATTTTTGTCTCTTGGTAGATTATTCTCTCCCGAATTTTTAATGACGAAGGCTCATGCGTTTTTAAAATTTGTTTTGTTTTTGTGGATCTTCTGCACGAAATAGCCTGTCGTTCGCTGAAGATGACTGTTGGGAGTAATGCTAGGAACACTGGCTTGATTGATACAACACCCGGCACCGCGCTTGTCCGTTTGACGAACCGCAGGTTTGTGTGATTTCCCACTTTGCACACACGATCTCATTTACATAGCAGTGTTGCTGGTAAACAGAAAACCCGAAAGGCGATGATCCATGACTTAAGTACATGACTGAAATAGTTAACGGCGACCATGCTAGTAGGACCTCCATACACAATATGTACCCGATTTCCCTGAGGTCTGGAAAAGGGGTTATGAACTTGTCTCTCAACAATGTCAGTAGGTACCAATCAACTGAATGGCTTTTTCTTGTATACTTTACGAAGCATATGCGCTTTAATTCTGAGATTTTTGTGTTTTTTAAAAATTGGTTTTTTTTAATTGTTTCCCTCCCCCCCCCCCCAAACCACCATTACATTGCAAAATAATATTTACAAGTTTATTACTCATGTATTTCTATTCATTGTGTGTTTGTGTGTGTGTGTGTGTGTGTGTGTGTGTGTGTGTTTGTGTAAGAGAAAGAGAGAGAGAGCGAGAAAGAGAGAGAGAGAGAGAGAGAGAGAGAGAGAG